GGGCCCCCGTGCGTCCGCCGCGCCCATCGGCGTTAAGAGCCGCGGACCGCAGGAGAAGGAAGCCAGCCGGGGTCCCCGCGGCGCCGAGCAGACGGCCGGGAGGAGCGCTGCCGCGCCCTCCTCGAGGGGGCGCTCCCCGCGAGCGGCCCAAGGGTGCGCGCCAGGACAGGGAAGAGGCTGGACGCGGCTCCCTGGCGTCCGTCGCCGAGCCTCCTGGGGGCTGGGGTCCCCCCGCCCCGCCCAGGTCGGAGGAGCACACAGAACTGCGGGCGGCTGCCGGACCCTCGGGCACACGCGCCAGCAGGAGACGGCCCCCTTGCTGCCGCGGGCTCGAGGCCTTGGACGGCCTGCGCCCAGCCCCGGGCCCCGCGCCTGCGGCCTGCAGGACCCAGGAGTCCGCTTAGGGCCCCTGATCCTACAGAGCAGTCAGGGACCCCGCAGGCTGCTAGTCGGGGATGAGCGCGGTGAGAAGAGGACGAGGCGGCAGGCTTGGCAGGTCAGTCTTTGGTGCTGGGGGACCTGGGGGCCGTCCAGGAGGCAGCTGAGTGTGCTGGAAGCAGATCCAGGAGAGGCAGTGGTTGAAGCCGTGGAACTTCCCCAGGGAAGACCTGTTCGCTGGAAGAATCCTGAGGACCACGGCCTCCACATGGACAAGAAGTGGGGCATGCTTGTCTGCTGTAGAGTACGCAGCCATCCTCCTTATTCTCCATAGAATTGTGCCTGTTTTAAATAAAGTACTTAAGACGCTGTTTGACTCAGTTTTTGGAAACCCCTCGGAGGCGAAGTGAGGCGCCAGCGCACATTCTTTGTAGGGAAAGAAACAGAACTGGATTAAGGAGGGCTGTGAGCCGAGTCAGAACAGAGCCCGTCCTTCTGAGGAGTTATTTTCCTGGCTGATTAGGTTTCCCCATTGTTTTAATTAGGCACTCTTAAAAGCGTCTACACTTTGTCCAAAACGAGATTTTTATTTTTTTGGTTGTACTTGATCATGTCTCAAGACGCAGCCCTTTATCTCCCTTCTCGCTTGTCTGAGTCACGAGCTCCTCTGAGGCCTCCGATAAGCAGCCAGGGCCCCGCGCAGAGGGGCAGCAGCCAGGGCCGTCTTCCTCCGGGACAGGGCCGCTGCCGCTGCGCGGGCCGAGCACCGTGTTTCACGTGGGCTGTCTTGCGTTAAAACTACCCTGCAAGGGCTTTGTTCAACTTCCGCTCCCGGGCTCGCCGCACGCTGAGCGCCGTGCTGGCCGCGTCACAGGGAGGGGAGGCGCCGCGGCCTCGGCAGTCAGGCGCGGGAGAAGGACTTGAAATAGACGATTGTAGAATTGATTATTTGATCACGGATGACTTAAGAGCTCTGAAAGGCTGTCTGGAGAATGCATCCAGTCTAGCGATCTGGGAAGCGACATTTGAGCTGAACTCGGAAGATTAGGAAGGAATTCACTCGGGGAGCCTGAGGAGGCTGGCAAATCATTCTGCACGGAAGGAAGGAACGCGAGGCTGCAGGCCCTGAGGAGAGGGCAGAAAGACAGAGCCAGGGTCAGGAGGAGGCCCGCTCGGTGGCAGAAAGACAGAGCCAGGGTCAGGAGGAGGCCCGCTCGGTAGGCAAAGGCTACCTTGAGGGTTTATCCCCAGAGAAATGGGAAGCCGTGGGCAGGAGAGAGCGTGGAGAGCTGGTGCTGGAGTGAGGAGGCAGCCGGAGTGAGAGAGGGACTCAGGAGCTAGTTGAGGGGCAGGTGATAGCAGAAACGGAGAGAAGTTTATGGTGGACAGACATGAGTCCTACTCTAGAAGACAAACAATGAACAGTGACGTACTTCAAGATCAGAAACAATCACTGGAACACCAGTTTTATATTAGGACACCATTATTAGATCAACGATTATTTAAATGATACTTGTATTCACAGAACAGCAGACACCCTGTTGGGCCTGTGCCAGGCACTGTTGTAAGCACTGCCCACGTCTTAACCAGGCTAAGGCAGCTCTGAAGGCCGCTCAAACTCAGAGTGGTTGGAGAAACGCAAGTTAAAGCCCTGAGCGATCACTGTACAACTATTAGACCGGCGGTAAACCGGAAAGGGGACAGGGCCAACTGTTGGCCAGGTGTGGGGCTAAGTGGGAGGGTCACCTGGTGCAGCCTGATGGGTGGGGGTGGGGGGGGCGGGGGGGCAGGCAGTCTGGCCAACTTGGTCAAATCAAGCTTCTGTACCTCTGCCCGACGCTGACACCTCAGGTCTGGGTGTGTGCCCCAGAGAAATGTGCTGCAGAGTCCAGGGGACTCATAGGAGGCTGTTCCCGAGGCTCTCTGTGTGTGGTGAGGAGCTGGAGGAAACCTGGTGTCTGGCCATCAGCAGGGACAGGGGACAAAGTAGCCATATGTAGAATGACACTGACAGATCCTAACGTTGTGAGTGAAAACAGAAACGACAGAATGTACGGCATACTACTACTGACGAGAAGTTCTTAAATAAAAACATGCACACAAACCAACAGTATCTTTTATAAGAGCATTTACAGACAAAGAACCCGCGTCGGACCCCTCTGCGGGGTGGCAGCCGTGGGAGGGCGGGCTGACTGGGAAGAGGGACGACAGAGAGCAGACAGACCCCAGAGAGGGCCTCCGGGGAGCACCAGCCATAATGGAGCCCAGCCCAGGAGCTGCTCCCTCAGCCCTGTCCCAGGGCCAAGGAGCACACCAACAGCCAGGAAGTCGTGGAAGCACGTCCCTGGGGTCGGAGGAACCCGGCATGGGTGCCCGCACTCCGTACCTGAAACTCCTGTCTCTGTCGTCCACGTTGTCAGCGTGACTGGCTCTGAGGAGTGCGGGGAACTGCTCACACATGTGGTGTCGAGTCTAGAAGGCCTGCTCCCCGACAGACAGACAGACGGCCAACGGACAGTCGGCCACTCTCCAGGCACGTGCTTCTCCCTCTGCGGCTTCGCTGGGCTGCTACGGCCACCTGGTGCAAAGCTGATCCATTCACTCAAAGCCAATGAAAGAGCAGACCCGACACGGGCGAGGGTGACGGGCGGTTCTGGCTCCCTAGTGGGGAGTGTTCCTGTGACAGCAGGTCACAGCGCTTTACTCCTGTCATCCCCACGCCGACACTGTCTGTCTGCGACACAGACTAGGAAGTTTCATGCCCTTTCTTAAAACAGAGGCTCAGCACGTCGTTCCAATATTTTCAAGAATAAGGTTCTTTTTTTTTTTTTTTTTGCAGTAACATTGGTTTATAACATTGTAAAAATTTCAGGTGTACATCATTGTACTTCTATTTCTGCATAGATTACATCATGTTCACCACCAAAATACTAATTACAACCCATCACCACACACGTACCGAATTATCCCTTTCACCCTCCTCCCTCCCCCCTTCCCCTCTGGTAACCACCAATCCAATCTCTGTCCCTATGTGTTTGTTTATTGTTGTTATTATCTACTACTTAATGAAGGAAATCATACGGTATTTGACCTTCTCCCTCTGACTTATTTCACTTTGCATTATACCCTCAATGTCCATCCATGTTGTCACAAATGGCTGGATTTCATCGTTTCTTATGGCTGAGTAGTATTCCATTGTGTATATATACCACATCTTCTTTATCCATTCGTCCCTTGATGGGCACTTAGGTTGCTTCCAAGTCTTGGCTATTGTGAATAACGCTGCAATGAACACAGGGGTGCATGTACCTTTACAAATTGGTGTTTTCAATTTCTTTGGATAAATACCCAGCAGTGGAATAGCTGGATCATATGGTAGTTCTATCCTTGATTTTTTAGAATAAGGTTCTTTTATATAAAGAAGTTCGCAAAGAAAGCACACGGCCTGTGACTGTATAACTGAAGGGATGGATCAGCAGCTCTGTGCTGCGGTTTCGTCTTGATTCTGAACAACAGAAGACGTGAGCACCACAGCCTGGGACAAAGGCTTTACGATCACCGCCGCTAATGACACGGTTTATGTTCCAATCTGGCTTTTTGCATGTTTTATCTATTTACTAGGTTTCCTGGTTTGGGCCCCACTGGCCATGAGGAAGGAGGCCCCCACCCTCCTGGGGTCCACCTTCCGGAGCCACCCTCATAACGGGCTCTTGAGGGGACCGACGGGCACTGCAATTTCGGGCTTCCCTTGCGGCCGGGAGGGAAACGGGCCACTTTTAGAGTCCTGTTTGAGAAAGCGTACAATGAGATGGCTTCAAAGGACTGAACTGGTCGCATTGGATTTTTTTGTTGGTAAGAGAAATGCTCCTCAAATCCTTATCAAATCAATATCAAGCATTTATTCCGTGCTTGGGTGTGAAGCGTGCTGCCAGCTGCGGGGAAATCACCAGAAAGGCTATCGTGCATGCACCGAGCTCTCACTGCAGCTACAGCCCCATGTGACTCACCGCATCACATAACATGATGAGAATAACATCATGTTATTATCCTCATTTTTTTTTTTTAAGATTTATTGATTTATTTATCCCCCGCCCCCCCCCCCGCCAAAGCCCCAGCAAATAGTTGCATGTCATAGCTGCACATCCTTCCAGCTGCTGTATGTGGGACGTGGCCCCAGCATGGCCGGAGAAGCGGCACGTCGGTGTGTGCCCGGGATCCAAACCCGGGCCGCCAGCAGCGGAGCGCGCGCACCCAACTGCCAAGCCACGGGGCCGGCCCCTGTTATCCTCATTTTAAGGATGAAGAAACGAGGCACTTGCCCAAAGTTAAGGAATTGCCCAAAGTCACAGAGCTGGTAAGTAACGAGGCCTGGCCCTGGGGCCACGCTCCCCCTCTTAGACTGCACCGGGGTCACACAGGCAGGGTCAGCAACCTCTCTAAGAGAAGGTTGAAAGAAAGCTGCCCGAGGGGCGTGTGTGTGTGCGTGTGTGTGTGTGTGAGTGACAGAGAGAGAGAGAGAGGACCGTGCTCATAACCACGGTTCCTGTGGACGAGAACACCCAAACCTTCTTCTGGAGGGAGACAGCCAGGTAGGCATGTGTATCAGTTTCCTAGGGTGGCCACAACACAGTATCACGAACTGGGTGCCT